GGTTGTTAGGTATTTTCTATATGTTCCTTTTTGAACATCTTAGGTGTGTTCTTGCTGTGCGTTATTTCTAATTCCATGTTGTCGTTCTTTTTTAAAACACAGAAACTGTTTTGTTACCTGTTATTGACGCTACAGTTTCGCCGACGGCTGCCGGCTTCTTCAGGCTGACACTGATGGTGGCGCATCACTTCCGCCTCCGTTTATCTGCGGGCACCAGAGGACATTGTCGCCCTCTACTGCCCGCTCTCCCCTCTCCAACGATGCAGTCCCATGCGTGGTCCAGCGTGTAAACTCCGTCATCCCTGTTCATGGTCCCACATCCACGTCTCCTTATCTCGATTGCTTCCTTGATCCATCTTTTGTATTTTTGTTGTTCAGTGGTTATGATCCGTGTGTTGTCCCAGTCCATTATATGGTTTTCTCTTAAGCAATGATCTGTTACGGCTGACTTTTTTATTGGACTTTCTGCTTCTTCCTTTGCTGCTCTTGTGTGTTTTCGATTTGCCTCTTTCTCGCACTCCTTTCTGTGTTCTATTGTTCGTGTGTTAAGTTGGCGTCCGGTTTCTCCTATGTATGTTTTATTGCAGAGTTTGCATGGGATTTCGTAAATGACTCCACATTTTTGTCCAGCTGATATTTTGTCTTTTGGGTGCACTAGTCTGTTTCTAACTGTTGTGTATGGTTTTGTTGGTGTGTTTATGTTATGTTTTTTCATTGTTGCTCTTATTTTTTCCATTATGCCTCTGATGTATGGTAGGGTTATCACTGGTTTTGGTTCTTGTCTTTCTGGGTTTCTGGTTCTTTTTTTGGGTTGTCCTTTGCTTTCTGTTTTTGTTTGTCATTTTCCTTTGTTTATTGCCCATGTCAGGTATCTGCAGGTCTTTAAAGCATGTTGTATGTGTTTGTCTTCTTGTTTTCGGTCTTTTTCTTCTGTTATTATATTTGCTCGGTGATATAATGGACTGGGACAACACATGGATCATAACCACTGAACAACAAAAATACAAAAGATGGATCAAGGAAGCAATCGAGATAAGGAGACGTGGATGTGGGACCATGAACAGGGACAACGGAGTTTACACGCTGGACCACGCATGGGACTGCATCGTCGGAGAGGGGAGAGCGGACAGTAGAGGGCGACAACATCCTCTGCTGCCCGCAGATAAACGGAGAAGGAAGTGATGCGCCACCATCAGCGTCAGCCTGAAGAAGCCGGCAGCCGTCGGCGAAACTGTAGCGTCAATAACAGGTAACAAAACCGTTTCTGTGTTTTAAAAAAGAATGACAACATATTCCTTTTTGAGTTCTAAAGAACGTCTGCTCCTGTAAGCACATTGTTATCTCTGTTATCCCTGGAATGCGGTGTCCTGGGAGATGAGGAGCCTGTAAGTCTGTATCTTGAGAAGGCCCGCCTTCTCTGTCCTGGTTGTCAAAAAAAAATCCCTAGGTGACCTGTTCAGGTTTACACAGACGCTCTTCAATTGGCATACAGATAAAAAATGAATGCAGTAAAACAAAATACGTTTTACTTAAATATTAATTAGTTTACAAGCAGAGAGCCGCATCAGATGGATGAAAGAGCCGCATGTGGCTCCAGAACGCGGGTTGCTGACCCCTGTGCTAGGCTAAGGAAATAGGTTCAGAGTAATCCCGCAGCTAAAGGTGTCAGCATCAGAGCTCCAATTAGAAGTGATTGTACGTGAAGTTTTCCAAAAAGTTGTTTCACAGTTGGAGCAGGAGTACCACGCAGACATAACTTGAAATAAATGCTTGCTACCTGTAGCTCCCCTCAAGGTAGCATAAAATCAAACCGGTACTAGATGTGTTAGAGGCGATACGATCGTCCAAAACCTAAAGCAAAATGGTGGCTGCTAATCTTTTTCGCTGTGTCTGCTTTTGTTTGTGTGTTTTATTACAAACATGTCTAGATTTACATCCACATTTTTTAGATAAAACCCAATTGAAGATGACCTCAGAGATTAGCTGGTTGTTTACTTGGTGCCAACAGATCACACGCAGTACTCCAATCATGCCTGAGATCACGATTGTTTACAATACTTGACTAAAACCGCTGTACCTATATCCGTGGCCTATCACAAAACGCGAACTCATCACATAATATATACAAAGCTGCGTAGTATGAGCAAACAGCCACCGACAGGCCTGGAATATACTTGCTTTTTAACGACGTGTATGCATGTTTAAAATGGCTGCCTCACATAACTTGCATTGATTTGATGCGGTGTTTGTGCTTGTCCCTCGAAATGAATGTGACACATTCACGTGTCAATCTACGAGTAACCAGGAGGAAGAGTTGACAAAACGAGTAAGACACATTCACCATTGTCACTCCGTCTCTGGTTTAGAGGTCTGTTATACTACCTACGATACTGCTGTCTTTCTTTCTGTTGTGATCTCAAAATTAATCAGTTACTGATCTTATCTATTGAGACCATGTTTGTTTTGGTTGCAACCCACAAACCTGGGACTCTTATCAGGTCTGAGTTCTCTACTGGTCCTCCACCAACTCTCTTGCCCATGGTGTCCCACAAGGATCTGTGCTGGGGCCTCTGCTCTTCCTCCTATATCTGCTTCCACATCAGCACATCCTGAGCTCCTTCAAAGGAATCTCCTACCATCTTTATGCAGATGACATCCAACTGTACATCTCCTTTAAGCCCCATGAGATGTCTAAGCTGCAGCTGTTACACACCTGCATCAAAACCTGGATGGTGGGAGCTTTCGACAGCTGAATGAAGTTAAGACTGAGATCCTCATCTGTGCCCCAGACAAGCTGGTTCCCAAAGTCAGAGACTCTCTTGGTCAGCTTGCTTCTCACACCAAACCTTCTGTCAGGAATCTTGGCGTGACCTTTGACCCAGCTCTCAACTTGGATTCTCATGTCAGTTCTCTTGTTGGCTCTTCCTTCTTCCATCTCAGGAACATTGCTAAGCTGAGTCCCATTCTGTCCTGCTCTGAACTTGAGACAGTTATCCACTCCTTCATCTCCTCACGCTTAGACTACTGTAACTCTCTTTTCACGTGTCTGAGCAGAACCTCCCTGAACCGTCTACAGGTGGTTCAGAATGCCTGTGCTCGGCTTCTGACCAAGTCCTCCAAACACACCCACATCACCTCGCTTCTCCTCCAGCTTCACTGGCTGCCAGTCAACTTCAGGGTTCATTTCAAGATCCTGGTTCTGGTCTATAAGGCCTTACATGGACAAGTGCCATCTTACATTAGTGATCTTCTTAGTCCCTACATCCCCAGCAGGTTCCTGAGGTCCAGTGATCAAAGCCTACTGGTTGTTGCAGCACCAGGCTTAAGACCAAAGGTGACAGATCATTTGCTGCTGTGGCCCCCAGACTCTGGAACTCTCTCCCCTGAGCCTGAGATCAGTTGACTCAGTGGACTCCTTTAAAAAGCAGCTGAAGACTCACTTGTTCAGGCTGGCTTTTGTATGACCTTCTCCACCACTCTCTCTTTATTCTGCTCTCCCCACCTTCCTCAGGATCCACTGATTTCCCTCTTTCTTATTCACTCTCTCTCTTTCTTAAAATTTTTTAAATCACAAATGTCTATTTTTACTCATTTAAAATCTATTTTTAAACATTTTCTAAATGCTTTTTTATATTTTTACATTCTTTGTTTTTGTGAAGTGCCTCGTGATTTGGCGCTATAGAAATGACACTTTCTTCTTCTTCTTCTTCTACTGTGCCCCCTAGTGGAACACCCCAGTACTACGTATGTAGTAGTATGTATTGTCCCTTTCCCACTAGCATTGGCTCTACATCACCCGGATAGCCCCAGTCGGCCCCAGCCTGGCCTGGTTCATTCCACACATCCTTGTTTAGGAATGCAAGGAATGCAGTCAGAGAAGTTCTCAGCTTCTAGGTAATCAACATGATAATGAATTGTACATGCCATAAGCCCACGTGGGCTGATTTTACCCACCAATCGGAGGCCTTCCCTAATGGAAGATGTAAATTTGAGCCAGCCTATCAGTCAGCAGTGGGTGTGTTGGCCCTGGTCAGTCTGAAGTAGACCACATCGAGAAGAGGGCTGAAAAACAGTCCAGTTGCACCCTGAAAAAAGGCAGGCTATGCTAATGTGGACACTCTCTATGCTATCCAGACCATGCGGAGCCGATGCTAGTGGTAAAGGGGCAATATTCCCCTTTCCCAGTAGCGTCGGCTCCGCCGGTAGTTGTGAATCATTTGGGTCTTAAATGTGGCCCAGAAGCGTAGCGTCACATTGCCCCACAAAATGTATGCTTTTAACAGGCTATGCCTTTAGAACACATCAAGGTCAGCAGATCAGATTGTGGCAGTCAGGAAGTCAAACACATGAGCGGTGTTAAGGATCCAGCCATGTTTAAAATAAAAAACTTGCAGATTTTTCTGCTGCGTAACTAGTGAAAAAGAAATCATTACCTGTAACACCTCTGTAGCAGAAATAAACAAAATAGAAAGTAAACCACAGACCTTTCAGATACTGGTGGCAGTTTTTTTCCCTTGCTTGTTACCGTGTGAAATGGCAAAATCATGTGATCTTGTACTTTTCTGGTGATTTTGTGACCTCGCACGACCAGCTGCGCGAAACACTTTTGCTGCAAAATTGCATCCAATACACGCCCTGTGGGAACAGACGCACCGCTGAGGTTGCAGGGAAACTGCACCTATTACACTCCGGGCCCCTTACACATCTGCTGGAGAGCCCTCATTTATCAGCATTTCATTAATATGATCTTAGTTTAAATCACAAAAGGTGGCATATGATGTCCCTTTCATCAAGAAATGTTTGGTGTTTATTGTTATTAATCTAATAAATCAAAGGGGTTTCTATCGTTTCCATTCATGTTCTGGTGATTTAAGAAATGGAAATAAATTGACCGCCTATAATTAACAGAAGCTTGGCTAAGCCAAAGGCTGGACCAAACTGAATGATGGGTTCTGTTCTAAACAGCTGATGTCAGATTCCTTCTTTTATTTCTCTTCTAGTTTGTGCCGTTCAGAGACTACATAGACAGATCTGGGAACCAGGTCCTCAGCATGGCCCGTCTGGCTAAAGACGTCCTCGCCGAGATCCCCGACCAACTGCTGTCATTTATGAAAAGCAGAGGAATTGAACCGCGACCGTCCATGTCCTCCTCCCCGCTGCACCGGCACATCTGACCCCTGACATTTATGACTATTTCTCTATCCGTCTCCTTCTTTCTCCCCTCCTTACACTAATCTTTGCTTGTCTCACTTACCATTATTTGTCACTTTAAGAGAGTGAAAAGATCAGCCTGCTGCTTGCCCTTCGTTCTCTCTCATCACCGGTGAGGCTAAACAGACACGTCCGATCTCCACAGCGGGCGACCGTCCCCGATTCGCCTGCTGCTGCTTCTGTAGCATCTCTTCTTTTGCTCTTGGCTGTACTAAAGGTGTTGAACGGCCCTTAATCAAGCCCTGTACCCTGATGTTGGAACTTTCTGACATGACTTTTTAAATCTGCCTTCTAATTCTCAACAGGTTTTCACCAGAGACGCTTTACACTAAAAGGTCTTCACAATTATTCTCAGCTAGTTTTGACATTTGCCACATTTTGTCCAATTATGCCCATAATCCAGAGTTTAACCGAAGCTAAATTAATTGAAAGACATCAATGAGCAATAAGGCACCAGCCTCTGGTGTGTTTTGTCACCTTTTTTTATCCAATTAAACCGTTCGCTTGAAGCTGGCAGGTTCAGCGTTAGAGAATCAGGTCACATGTTATCGGTGGTAGAGACCCAGACACACACATACACACTTCCGTCTGCAGCCACGCCACACCCACCCTCTCTGTGCCCAGCGTGGGGGACGATGCTGGGTGCAGATCTCCCCCACCACACCCCACTGTTAGAGAAATGCCAGTCTCTCCAGCTGCCCTGCAGAGAGGAGGAGGGAGGGGAGGAAGGAAAAGAGGCAGGGGGAGGGAGCAAAGGGAAGAAGGGAGGGGCAGGGGCAGAAAAAGAAGCAGCGCTGCTCAAGGACATGAGGAGAAAATAATGCATCAAGAGATTAGTTTTGTTGTGCGAGGAGGCAGAGGAAGCAAATAGCAAGAAAGGCTGGACAGTACCGTTATCTTTAGATTAGTTTAATAAGTCTCTGTATGCATATTTTTTGTGTAAATGAATTTTAATGAGGGATAAATGCACATTTTATGAAAGGCAATATCAGTGACTCCCAGTGTAACTCGGCCCTATGCATGCCCCTTCCTCTCCCCCGTCCCAGGCCAACTGCAGCCGTGTGCAAAGTGGGAAAAGGCTGCCACCTAGTGTTTACCCTTTGTATAACTAGGTATCTTGATTATGCATGACTACTGTACATTGCTATACTACCCCAAACGGTACATGTGCATGACCACATTCAGACGTTACATTTGGTATCCTGACATAGATGATTCAGAACTGCATCAGATCAAAAGGCCCAGAGACTTTTGTGGAAATGGCGTCACGTTTCCAGTAAATGTCACTTGTTGGTTAAAAAGAGTGTTTCATGTGCCGTGTATACGTATTTGAACCTTTTCTGATATTTTCTGCATGTTGCGGAATAAATGCATTAAAATGTTTCTGTAGATATTTTGCTCCTCTTAAGAGATAAAAATGTATCAACATGCATTTTCTTTCCTTTTATTCACCTTAACTTTTCATTTGTGGATTTCAGCTCATCTGCGATGGGTCTTGCAGAAACCTGAGGTTTGATGTGTATTTTTGATTTTCTGAAAAGGGTCATTAGACTGAAATGAGAGGTTTCCGCAAAACACAAACAGAATCAGGACGTTTTCTGAGGACGATTGAAACCCTGCCGTGATTTCTGTCTCACGTTTGACTGCAGAAGCGTGAAAAATGAGGATGTTTATTGTAAATAGCTCACACTGTGTGTAATAAAATGTCTTTATAACTCGTTTGCTTGAAGTAGAAAAGCCTTTTACATCCGTGTTTCAGCTGAACATCGTTACTGAATGTTGAAGTTTTGACGAATGTCCGATAAAAAGAATGTAGAAGTTAGACAAAAACTTTAATGTTTTCACTTATATCTTTCTGTGTTTTGATATGAGGTCCAATTATATCTGTGTGTTCTGAGGCTTTCTGGAGTTAATTAAGTCATCAAACAGAAAAAGAATTTTCTTTCATTTACTGTAGATTCGAGCCTCACATATGAATAAGAAGCCTGGTGACACGTTTGGCTCATAACGGACTTTAACCTCCCCCCCGGGCCTTTCACCGCACTCTTGTGCAGCTGCTTCACCATTTGTCAAAAAGAAATCCTGTATCTAACAGTGAGTTGTGATCTAATTAGAAGTCTTTACATCTTGTCTGTATAACTAGAGAACTTCCATATTTTCATTTTTTATGAACAAGTTGTGACGTTATCCATCTGTCAAAGCCAGACTTAACTATGCCTCCTCAGTAGAAGAAAAGCTGCACCATCTGCCAGTGTAACACCGCTGCTACAAAGTAGAAATAAAATGTCATTTCTTTGCAGACAAAGGTGATTTTTCCTTGTTAGCCACTGAGTCCCAGATTTCTCAAAAAAACTGTCTCACAATCTGAGAGAACTTGATTTTTTTTATGTTAACAGCTTCTTGAATGGCCTTAGTTTTGAGAAATTGAGTCCAACAGGACTGATAAGCTAATAGTGTCCTAAACGTTTGTTGGTGTTAAAGTCTTACAGTATCAATTTAACATTGATCTTCGTGATTGTTGACCAGTTTCATTTGACACCACTCTGCAGCCCTCTACTGGCCAAAAACTGCAATTAACAGTTTTGTGGAGCGGGTAGGTACTTTATAGCGGGCCCTCTTCACTTGCTTTATGGTTGTTAGCTGTATTACTAGCTGTTAGCTTTTTCAGTTCACCGAGCATCAATAAAAAGCACAAGAAGAAGAAAAAGAAGAAGTTGTGGTGTTTGGTTGATGAGTTAATCTTACATGAGAATGGTTTATTCTACTACCAAAGAAAACGGAAGTACATGCTTTCATTGTGAAGACCAGTTGTCAAGGAGATATAGCAGTTAGGAGTTGAGTTGCTGTTTTTGGTGACGAATACCTCCTCTGATCCTTCGTCCATCTGCCAACTCCTACACTGGTGACCCCGACGTTGGACTATTGTTTGCTGATTGTCCAACCTAGATGGATTCTGTTGATCCTTCCGCCGCTGAAGGGGAAATGCTACCGGCTGCCGCAGTCGTTTCCCCCGCCGTCTTCGCGGCATCTATCAAGCTACCGGATTATTGGCAACACAACCCAGAACCTTGGTTTCAACATGTTGAGGCTCAATTCCACCTCCGGGGATTACTTCGGATGACACAAAATACTTTAATTGGTCGCCGCACTGGACGCTGGTTCTACCCGCCGTTTAATGGGGCTGTTGCGGCAGTCTCTGCGGGCTAACAAATATGGTGTTTTGAAGGACAGTCTGCTCAGGATCTACCAGCTGTCAGAGGAGGAGAGAGCTGACCACCTGTTCTCGCTCAATGGTTTGGGAGATAGCAAACCGTCTGAACTGATGGAAAACATGTTGGCGCTACTTGGAACAGGTGACACTTCTTTTCTTTTTACTCATCTTTTCCTACGCCAGCTACCACCTGTTGTTCGCACCGCCTTGGCCAGCTCTGAGTATCTGCGCTCTAAGGACTACCGAGCATTGGCTGAGGAAGCAGACAAGATCCTGCTTGCTTCCAGGGTACATGGCATTCACTCCATGATGCCGACCATTCCCCGAATGCCAGCTGAGCCATGTCAGAACATGTCAGTGACAGCTGTGATGGAACATATGAGAGGAAACGCTGGACTGTGTTTTTACCAACACAAGTTTGGATCTAAGGCGAGACGCTGCATTCCGCCCTGCTCCTTCCCCGACCAGGGAAACGGGAAAGCCAGCACTCACTAGCAGCAGTGAACGCTGGCTCATCAAATGAGCTGCCCTTCCTGAGGGACGTTTCTTCACAACGATGTTTCCTCGTCGATTCAGGAGCTCAGCGGAGTGTTATTCCAGCTTCTGCTGCTGACACCTGGTTTCCTGTGCATGGTCCCCTGTAGGCTGCCGCAAATGGGACTCATGTCTGGACTTTTGGGACTTGGTTTGTGACTCTCTGTTTTAATGGACGCAGTTTCAAATGAGATTTTGTGATAACGTCGGTTTCTGTACCTATTTTGGGCGCTGATCCTCCACCCCCTCCCCCGCGTGGACAAGCGGGTTCAGAAAATGGATGGATGGATTTCCTGTCTGCTTTTCGGTTGATGGTGTCTAGTTGATGCTGTCTCTTTTGAAACTTTTCCATGCTCTCTGGGAGGTCCTTCACCTCTACCTTTGGCAAACATGCTAGCCTCAGATGACGAGTTCCACAGGTTTCTGGCCGAGTTTCCTTCGATTACAATCCCCACGTTTTCTGCTGCTGTAGCAAAACACGGGGTTGAACATTACATTCCAGGCACTGGTCCTCCAGTGTTTGCCCGTGTCTGTAGCCCGCTAAGATACATATTGCACAGGAGGAGTTCACTAATATGGAGTGCCTCGGGATTGTGCGCCGCTCTGACAGTCCTTGGGTGTCGACATTACACATGGTTCCCAAGGGTGACGGAGGATGGTGCCCTTGTGGTGATTTCAGGCAGCTTAACAACGCCACCGACAACGATCGCTATCCCATTCCCCACATTCAAGATTTTTCTGCCCATCTGGCCTCTGCCAAAGTATTTTGTAAGGTTGATTTGGTGAGGAGGTACCATCAGGTCCCAGTGCATCCTTTGGACATTACCAAAACTGTAAAGATTACCCTTTTTGGACTTTTTCAGTTCCTGCGGATGCCCTTCGGACTTAAAGAGGCTGCACAAACGTTCAAACTTCTCATTGACTCTGTTTTACGTGGGTTGCCCTTCTTGTTTGTCTATTTGGACGACATTCTGGTTGCTAGCTCTTCAGTCCCCAAACACTTGGAACACCTCAGTTTGCTTTTCAACAGACTTAGTGAACATGGTTTGGTGATGAACCCGAGCAACAGTCAGTTTGGGTTGTCGTCCACCGAGTTTCTGGGCCACCTGGTGTCACCTCAGGGTGTGGTCCCCCTTCCTGCGAAGGTACGGGCAGTTGTGACTTTTCCACACCCTGCATCTGTAAAGTCTCTACAAGAGTTTTTGGGGATGGTCAATTTTTACAATCGTTTCATTCCCCGAGCAGCTCACCTTACGTACCCTCTCTATGATGCCCTCAGGGGCAAGAAGGGCAACCAAGCTATTGTGTGGACACAGGACATGCTACGTGTCTTTGATGAAGCTAAGATGGCATTGGCAGATGCTGCGCTACTGGCACACTCTACCCCAGGTGCTCCCGTGGCCCTAACTACAGACGCCTCTGATTTTGCTATTGGTGGGGTGTGCGAGCAATTGGTCGGGGGCGCCTGGCAGTCTCTCGATTTTTTTCAGTCGAAAACTCAAACCTAATGAACAGATATATAGCACATTCAACTTGGAGCTTCTCGCCCTTTTTCTGGTGACTCACCATTTTCCGTTCATTTTGGAAGGTCGCAAGTTCACCGCCTTTGTCGACCACAAACCATTGACTTTTACCATGGCAAAGGTTTCTGAATCATGGTTTGCCCGCCAGCAGTGACAGCTTTCCGCTATATCAGAGACATATGTCATGTTGCCGGCAAATGTAACCTGATGGTCGACAGCCTGTCTAGGTCGACTGTTGGTGCTGTCCTGTTGGGTGTGGATTACGCAGCCATGGCAACAGACCAGAAGTTGGACATTTCTGCCTGTACATGTGTATCTGCAGACTCCAGCCTCCGCCTTGAAGATGTATCATTTGGTGACAATGAGGCAGTCCTCTTGTGTGATGTCTCATTGGGCAAACCTCGTCTTCTGGTCCCTGTCTCATGGAGACACCGAGTCTTTGATTCCATTCACTCTTTGTCGCATAACGGAGTCAAGGCCTCAGTCAAGTTGGTGGGCAACAAGTTTGTTTGGCCGGGCCTGCGCAAGCAAACCTGGGCGGCCTCCTGTTTAGCACGTCAACGGGCCAACGTTCAGAGACACACTAAAGCCCCACTAGAGTGCTTTCTCGTGCCACGGGTGAGGTTTCAACAAGTCCACGTGGATCTGGTTGGTCCATTGCCTCCATCCTGTGGTTTCACCCGCCTTTTCACCATGGTGGACCGTACCACCCCTTCACCAGAAGTCGTACCTCTAAGTTCCACTACTGCGGCAGATTGTGCACACCTTCATCTCGACTTGGGTGTCTCATTTCGGGGTACCCCTTGACCTCACCTCAGACAGGGACCCCCGGTTCACTTCAAAGCTGTGGACAGAGGTAGCTAACAACTTAGGGGTCAAACTTCACCGCACTGCAGCTTTCCACCCACAGGCCAATGGTCTTTGTGAGAGATTTCATCGTACGATGAAGGCAGCCTTGTTGGAGCAAACTGGGTGGACCGGTTGCCGTGGTTCCTTTTGGGCTTACGATCTGCTCTGAAGAAAGACCTAAAGTCTTCCCCTGCTGAGCTTGTTTTGGGTCAGCCCATTACAGTTCCATATTCCACCTTTAAATTCTCTGAATTGAAACTAGTCAAAAATTCTCAGACAATAAAGTTGTTTTTGTTTTTTATGTACATGCAAACATCCATTTACAGTGCGAAAACCAAAAAGCTTTCATCATGTTTTTCAACCAACAAGAACATCCAGTAACCATCTCCTCCTAACAACATGCTCAGGAGGATATTTTTATACGCTCACATCTAACTAAAAGCCTTTCAAAATTCACCAACAACATCACACACCCTCGAAAACATTGTGAGCAGGCCCATCGTTGCCTGTGAAGTGGCGTTTCCTGTTGATACTCAACCCGACTACAAAGAGATGCACAAGCGTGAGAAACTCCTCAAGATGACAACAAAATGGTGTAAAATGACTACAAAGAGACACTAAAACATCACAAAGATAGGAAACAACAAAGGCAGAGATGTGAAATCACCACAGTGGAGCTCAAAAATAACCGCACAGAGAAAAATGAGCTGACGAAAAGGATGCAAGATAATCAGTCTGAAGTAGGCCTGATGCAAATGTGACATGACTTTTTTATTTTAAATGAGTACACCACATGCATCAAATCAGCAGTTTAGAGGCAGATGGGCTTGTAAGCATGTCGGATGCATTAATTAAAACTTCCAACAGATGTAAGAAACAACTTAAATGATCTTCAGCATCATTTGGATGCTTGTTGTTACAAGAGGATCACAGAAGTTGGACAAAAAAGAAGATTAAAGTGATGCTGCCCAATTAGAAACATGTTTTAGTGAAAGGAATGGTGTTTAGGATTAAAAGAAGGGGAGTTTTTCTCGTCTCAAAGTTGGACAAATGAGCTCTTCAAATAGTTTTCCTGAGTTGCTGAGTTTGTGGTATATTTTCCACGAGTTAAAATCATGATTACAAAGCTGATAAAACAGCTTCTACTTGTCTGTAAGGATTTTCGCCCCATCAGCAACTGCA